GAGAGAGAGAGAGAGTTGCATTTGTTCTTTGTTTTCTTTAACTTCTTTCCTAGAGAGGGAAAGTGGTAGTTGTATGATGATGTTTGAGGAAGGATTTGAAATATATATTACATGTTTTACATGCAGTGTCCCTCAAGGACAAGATGTGGTCCTTGAGAATGTCTTTTGATACTTTCCACATGCAATTAATTAATTGTAAGCACAGATTAGTGAGTAAATGATGCTCCATAATGCTCACTAGTTGTTCCTATCAAGACCACAGACAACCTGGCCGCTTATTACCTAATCTCATGGTTGGCCCACCAAAGGAATAGGTAATGCCATTGGGGTTGTCTTCTCCTTGCTTTCAGAGTTGTGCACACCAAACTCACTGTTAGGGTTTGGGAAAGAAGCTTGGAAGAGAGTAGGCCTCTAACTTTATAGAGAAAAAGATACTAGAAGATTAAATATAATAATTATTATTCTTCACCACCTTTCTCTCACCTTATATATATATATATATATATATATATATATATATATATATATATATATATATATATATATATATATATATATATATACTTATTGTTGAATTCAATATTTGAATTATGATGTCATAGTGCAAATGAATAATCTAAATGCTTGTGATACATCAAACTTATAAAGTATTATCCAATGAAGATAGTGATATAATAGTTTGAATTATATATTAATGAAATAAAAGGGAAGATTTGATAGCATGATATGTTCCCACATAGTGACACAATTTTGACCACAAAATGACACATGTTTAAATTGTTAAGAAGGAACACTTTTAGCAGATGAAACGTACCAATTGCTTATATGTTTGGACTCCTTATGAATCATGTTTTGCTTTAGAATTGATCATTGGTGAGTCAAAAATATAAATCATTTCAAGGCCATGGTTGACCCGATACCTATTTTGGTGGTGGATGATCAACTTCACATTCACCATCAATCATCATCACGATTCTTTTCGCGTGACGTGCATCAAAGAATGTGTACAAACACAAACAAATTGTTTCAAATAATACTTTACCCTCATGTAAAGTTAAAAAGGATTTAGAATCTAATATATATTTTTATTTTAAATAAAATAATAACTTGAGCATTAAAGGAATCTCGTCGGTCGATCGGATGCTTCCGATATATTCGTAGAAGACTTCTCGAGAGTTCATGAGATAACTCATATGCCAACCATAATAATTCCTTAATAAAGAATTGATCAAGTCGACTCGACCCTTTCATTTTAGAATGATGATCGAATTTTCCACTAACAGCTCATTAGGGGTTTGTTTTTGGGTTAAGACATTGTGAGCTTTTGTGGATTGGGTGGTTTTTCTCGCCATAAGGCATTGTGACGTATAACTAAGGAGGCCCAAAGGCCCAACTTTATTTGGTGAATTAAACATGCGTTATATTCTTTATCTAAATACTAATAAATTATGTTATAAGTTTATATTTAGTGATGTCAATGTGATAGGACACGACGAGAAATGCTTCTTCTATTATCATCCCCTGTACTGGGAATCCTTATTAGGGGTGGATAACCTTTGGTATTTTCGTATCTTCATAATTAATTCATTCATTCAATTTAAGAAAATAAAATTATCATTAAACTTAATTAATAATATTAAATTTATATATAATAAATGATAAATATATTTAAATATAAATAGAATCAAAATTATCATGAGAGATTAGGGGAAGATGGAAGAGGATCAAGAAAAAGCAATGGGAGAGGAGCCTACAACACGACAACTAATGAGACAGGGTCGTAGGGTGGGTGGGGATGATTGCGATGAGGGGGTGGGGGGCATTATGATGAAGAGAAAAGTAGAAAAACGAAGGGAAGATAAGAAAATATGTGATGGAAAAAAAGAAGAATACTAAAGAATCATTATTTTTATTCACTATTCATCCTTTGTTATGATGAGAAACTATTATTTGTCAACGAAAAGAGGAGGATCAATGAAGACAAAGTCAAACAACCATCACAACGGTCAATTAACGTATGAGGTCAGGATGAAGAGTTCTTCTTGTTAAATGATAAGATGTTTCATTTGATTCAATTAAGTCAAATAATTCTTAATTAAATTATGATTGATTCAATTAATATTCATCTAGTTTAATTTGAATAAAGAAAGTTTAACATGTTTAGAATTTAGGCTTAGCAACTTTGTCAACATATTAATGAGTAAAAAAATAAAAAAAAGCTCTACCTATCATTATCCCATATTCATGTGAGTAATATAAAATGCCCTTCTTCCCATCTAATCTCACGAAAAACAAGAGTGCATGCAACATTCCTATTTATATTAGCAACTTCAATTAGTTTGATCTCATCATCACTATATTCTCATGGATGCATTCATGTGTTTTAATCCGACTAAACCGAAGTTTAGCCAAAGCCAATATTTGACCATAAAATATTTCCATGAAGATATAATAAATCGACTATGTTTTAAAATGTTACCTTAGTGCTTTCTTCATATTATTTTTGGCTAAACTTTGGAAATAATGCATTTATCTCTTTAAATTTTAAAACAACATATACATTTTATTTTATTAATAATATTCAAATTAATCATATACCACTTAATAACTTAAGATTAAAGTATATTAGAAACATATATTATATAATGATAGTTCAATCAACATGAGGAGGATAAGAAAATATTCAACTCATATCTCAAATTTTTTTTTAATTAAATTGATTATAAAAACCTTTCAAAACATATCAATTGAGATCAGTAATAATTTACTATAGACTTATACCCCGATTGATTAAGATCACATCAAAAAGACCTATATGATCTTAGATTTGGTATATTTTTTTTTAGCCACATCAATCTTTTTAAGCATGTGGACCCAATAGAGTTGAGCTCATCTAAACATCATTAACATCTATCACATCACATAATTTTTTAATATTTTATTCTTACCATAATAATAATATTTTATTCTTAAAGATTTTAGAAACTTCATATAATATAATCCAATAATAAAAATTTAATATTTAAAGAAATAAAAAAATTATTTTAGAACCACGCATAATATATTTTGATTTAAAAATAAAATTTAAACATTTAATGAAATCAAAGAAAATTTTAAATATTTAATGAACTACATATAATATATAATTCCTCATTTCTTTTGTTACTAGATTTAGATTTAAGTTGATAGGAATGAAGAAGAAGAAGAAGAATCTCTCCTCGTTTGTATAAGAAATATAATTTTTTTTTAATTTTTATATTTATTTTTTATTTAATGTACTAACAAAAATAAAAATCATCCTACTTAAAATATTAAATAATTAATTTATAAAAAAATTAATAAATAAAAAATCATAACCTAAATTACAGTCCCAACCGAGCTCATCTAAACATTATCACATCACATAATATTTTATTCTTACCATGGTAATAATCAAGTGTAGGGTTTCATTCAATCATTGCTTTAACAGTCCAACAATGGCTAAAATTTAAGGATATTTATTTTTATTTAATGCTGAGACTTAACATTTAAAGAATAAATATAAAAATTAACTTTAGAGGGCTATTTGTGTAATTTTCCGTTTAACTTCCATCCCACCATTTAACTACGGATTCGGATCCAGTCGTATCCGAACCCAATATGCGACCACCGTCTCTATGTTTTAACAGATGTTAAAAAGCAGTAAACGGGGCAAGTCCGATCCGATTGCCGTTGAAACCCACCACCTCTTCTCCTCCGTCTCTGTCTCTCTCTCTCTCTCTCGCGTCCCCAACTCGCAACTCCGATCCAGATGAATGCAGCCAATTCACAACGCCGATCTCTCAATTAGCAGCGGCAGCAGATGAACTGTACATAAGATCGGGAGTGGCAGAAGGAGGAGGCTCCGAGCCTGATCCGTATGGAGCGGTTGCCGTCGGTGTCGCTGAGGCGCGACCCCGCGGGGCCGCGGCCGAGCGCGGACCCGGAGGCGCTGCGGCGATGGGTGGTGGCCTTCTGTATCATCCGCTTCGACCTGGAGCAGGGGCAGCTGGTGGAGGAGTGCTTCCCCCCGGACTCCCTCCCTCACCACCAACTCCTCCTCGTCGCCTTCTCCTCCTTCCCCGACTCCATGTCCCACCACCACCTCAACCCCAACACCGCCCACCGGCCCTCCTCCTCCTCCTCCTCCTCCATTCACGACTGCATCTTCTCCTTCCGTTTCCCAGCCGCCGCCGCCGACGGCGGCGACTTTCTCTACGGATACGTCTTCAACCGCCGGCGGCAGGACGAGCGCCTCCCGCGCGGTGGCGAGCAGAAGTCGGTCGTCATCCTCTCCCGCTCCCCATACTCCTCCGTCTTCCGGCCGCTTCTCCAGATCCTCGGACCCCTCTGCTTCGACATCGGCCCCTCCGCTCTCGGCCTGGTCGCCTCCCACGTCGCCGCCTGGCCGGCCCCCGCCCCGGGCGCCCCCATGGACCTCCCGATCGGCAGCGCCGCCCTTCGCGTGCACCTTCCCCCGGCCCTCTATGACGCCGCCGCCCCCTTCCCTCCCGCCAACCCATCCGTCCCCCACGGCCTCTTTCACGACGCCGACATATTCGGAAGCTTCCGCGGCCTCCTCCTCCACCTCTGGACCCTGTGGGAGTTGATGCTCGCTGGCGAACCTCTCCTGGTGATCGCCCCAACTCCCCCGCAATGCTCTGAAGCAGTCGCCGCCCTCGTCAGCCTCGTTGCACCGCTCCCGTTTTCCGTCGACTTCCGGCCCTACTTTACCATCCACGACCCCGGCTTTGCCCGGCTCAATTCGCTAGGCGAAGACGAGGAGTTCCCCCCCATGGTTCTCGGAGTGACCAATCTCTTCTTCTTGAAGGCCCTGCGGAACATCCCTCACGTCGTCTCGGTGGGCAGTCCCGGGCCTAATACCGGCCGTGCTCTTCCTGTGGCCAGCCGTTCGGCCTCGACTGGGATGCCCGGAAGGAACTCTCGGCCTGGAAAGCTCAACCTAGAGCAGCTCTCGCTGAACAAGTTTTCCCCCTCGGGCTTGTTGAATGCGATGAAGCTAAGGAGGGAGGGCCCTCTTTGCCTCATGACGGAGCACAAGGAAGCTGTTTGGAGCACTTATACAGCGACGACGAAGCCAGACACCGCCATTTTGAACAGGCTAATCGATTCTCCAAGGATTGAGGAGTCCATGTCTGTTGCCAACAATGAGATATTGCGGCGGCACTTTCTGGAGCTAACAACCAATTTCCTTGCACCCTTCGGTCCCTATCTAAGGGCAACCACCCCTTCAAAGGGAACTTCCCCTTTTGTCGACCCGCCACCCTTGCCTCCGTTTCATGCTGATGAGTTTCTCAGTGGGCTGGCCACAAGAGGGCCAGGGAAGTTCTTGTCAAAGAGGATGAGGTCCAATTGGTTGGAATTGTACAGGTGATAGTGCTGTTGATGAAGTTTAGTATCCTAGGGATATTTCCACTTGATATCATCACCACTCTGTATTTGACTTCAACTAATTTTGTTTTACATCAGGTCCTTCTTGGAAGGACAAAATTTCATGCCCTGGTTCCATAGAAGGCGTGCTGCTGCAGAGCAAGAGCAACATAGGCTATGGAGGCAGGCTCGCATGAGCACTGACATGAATAAGCTTATATCTAAAATGTCCGAAGTGGAGATCGTTGATTCTTTTAATGCTATTGAAAGACATTTGCTTGCAGAGATACAGGTTTGTTCTTTTGATGTTTGATAATGGTTGGTGAATACTAAATGTTATGCTCCATTTGATATGACTAACACAATGTGAAAAAATATCTCATGCATTTCATATTACACTTGACATGAATTACTTTGAAATGTTTTTACAGGATCAGTTTTCATCCATTTAAATGTTAAACCTGCAATAATGCAACTCATCTGCCCTCAACTTAACATGTTAAGTTGATGAAGAATATGAAATCAAATGTATAGATGTACACGGAGCATACAATATTTTAATCCTTTCTTTAATATGTATAGACGTCCATCCTAACTGTGTTTTCTGCATACGATCTGGATGCTAGGTTCCTTTTCTGACTAATACCTTGATATGGACTCTAGGCTGATAATGGGCCATGTGTTGTTGTATCCTTTGGTCCTTGGTAGGTGCACGTGTGTGTGTGCTTGTGTTTTAATATCCGTAGAATCTACTGTTGCTGTAGGAGTATCATGGATAGATGATGCTGTTTAGACAGTTAAACATATTGCTATCCAACTTTATAGTTAAGTCAAGGTAGTTGCTTAAGTCATGATGCATATGATACAACAATTAATACAAACTAACCAACAATAATAACAGTTTCATATAAATTTGTGTTAAGTAGAACAAGAAGAAAAATAAAAAACAACAGAGCTTATCACTACTTTTCTCTGCTTTCATCATGATCACTTTCTGATCTATGCCTTCTTTAATTAAAGTGGTTGGCTTCTTTTCAAGACACTTCGTGACATCTGAATATATTGGAAGTCAGTTATCAATATATATCATGGCATTTGAATATGTTGGGAGTACGGTAAGAGAACTTTCCTTATCTTCATTATGCAAAGATTGGAGCTTGCTGAATCCACTCCTTTTTAACTTAGGAAGGGAGATGTCTAGTAAAGCTCTCTCACGAATTTCTAGTAATTATAGCCTTACTGAATTTTATAATTTTTATTATTTTTGGATGTATTTTCGTTATTATTTTAAGTTGATCTGTTGGAACTCTTTAAAGTCAAAGTTTAAGTCTATTTGGCTTCCGAGTCCTAAAATGATTATTAGCATAGATTACAAGAGTAATAAAGCTATTAGGAGTTGCTTTTGGAGACTGACAATATTCCCATCAGTCCTATTAGTATAAGCCTTTTTTGGTATGATTATGAGACTATTTCTTTTAGGCAATAAAATCTGTAGATCAGATAGGCAGATGCAATAAAATAAAATATGCAATAAAATAAGTTCTCTTGTAAACCTAGTCTCTTCATTGCATTGGCGAATACCTTGATACAAGTCTATCAATTATGCTTATTAATAGTGTACCCTTTAGATTCTCTAGAATGTTTTTATTGTTTATCGTATCTTTTTTACATATTCGTCTCAACATGTTTATCATAGCTATACTATTTCTTTTCTTGACTACACTGTTTAACTTCTGGAATCATTCCCTATCCTATCATGATGATAGTTGCTACCATTTTATTCTCCTCACTGAAAATGTGGAAGAATATTTATCAGATAATCTGTACCAGATTGTTTATCCCCCCTTTAGTTGTCTGCCATCACTTGCCAACAGCATTATTGTCACCACTACCACCATGTTCATCATTTTTCTCTTAACAAAGAGAAGAAACCTTTTCTGCCCCGAGAAAGTTTAAAGCCTCTTTATTTTTCGTCTCTTTTCTTGACTGCCCATCATAAGCATCATAGTTGTTACCACCATCACCACTCCCATTAAGCAGTAAAGAAAAGCAGAAAAGTATACAAGAAATGTCTGCATAACATATATTATCATAAACAATCATGTAACATTGGATGATTGAAATTTTGAAGTGTTTTTTATTGATATTGTATTTTTTATATCATAATTTTCAGAGTTACAAAAATTTGAAATAATAAAGGCATTTTATTTTTTAATACATGATATATGCAACTATTCAGTTGATCATAAGACATTCAGTAAATATTTGAATTTGTTATCCTTCATGAATGTGGATTTGTATGAACTTCCAATGCTTTCTTCATATGAGTTGTTGCATAAGTTGGTGCATTTGTTTTGAATCAAGAAATTCTAGTATGTTTATTATTTCAACTTTTTGTGGTTGTATCTCCTAAACTTCAGAAATCAGACTCATCTCTCAGTCCTGAACATTACACCTTATGTCTTAATCCAGTTCCAGGAACATAAAACTGCATGATCAAAGACATATTTTTGAATTTTTAACTTACAAACGTTTACTTTATGTAAAATGGCCTTATGGGCAACATTTTTCTCATTTTGTTTTCTGATTCAAGAGGGTGGTTGTGTATGGTGATAACAGTTGTGATGGCCATAGTACTAGTTTTGGTGAGAAGCCAAGAGAAGATGGATCACACTTTGTCATCTTGTTGTGAAATAGTTCGCTCTCTGTCTCTTTTGATTCCCATTAATGATGTTGGTGATGATAGTGATGATAATGGTGGTGGAAGGCGGAGGTGGTGGACCCTAATAATTTTATAACTTACGTTTTCTAACTTCTGATTGGTACCTTTGCTAAAACTACCATTCTTTTGAGTTTTCGCTAGTGCTCAAGCTTTCTAGCAAGCTCTTTTTTCAAAGTTATTTCTATTATTTACCCTTTCTAATTTACTGTCCCTGCAATTTCCTTTAGCACACATGTGAAGTGTCTAATTTTTCTTGTATGGTTATTGCAAAATGCTGCGTCTTTTGAATGTAGCAAGAAGTGCCTGACGATAGTTGCTTTTACACATATGAAGATTCTTATCTACCTTCGTGACAACCTGACAAGCCTGTATTCCAATATGTACTCTGACTAGAGAGGAGTGTTTTTTTAACATCTTTCTTTCGGCAGTGTGTTTTATGGCTTCACCTAAACAGGAAACGAAGTCTGTAAGTAGATGACAGTATATAATCATATTCTCTAATACAATAGATCATGTTAAGTAATGGCATGGTGGTGCCCTAGTATCATTTTAGACATGCATAGCCATTCAACTTCCCTTATGCACTGATGGCATGGTGGACTTGATGTGAATACGGTACATACATGCATATATGTGTGAAATATACTACAGAAGTAGAGTGAAATTCAAAAAATAAAAAAGACATCAGGACCTGGCAATCTGCAGCCATGATCTGGTGGCCTGATTATGTGGTTACACATCAATAAACAAGAATGTTGAATAAAGCTCTCTATGTGGTTGGACGTGATATCTTGACTGGATTATTCTTTGGTGAGCCTTGCTTGGATTAGCTTTGGATTGTCGAAAGCTCATTCACAGCAGAATCTAGGGGTTAAACAATGATTCTTGATGTTAATTTTTAGTTCCTTGCACTAACATCCACGAGGTTATCATATTGTTCTAGTAGTTCATGAGCATTTTGTAAAATATCTATTTTAGCCTGATGTAGATGTTAAATGAAGCAAGCTAGTTGCACCTGTGGGAGAAAGCTTGGTTCAACTTGTTATGCTTAAGAATATGTGAGGTAATCTGATCATATGTTTTCTCAGGGTTCTTTATTCTTTAATAATGCTGTATGTACTTGTTCATTCATTAATATCTGTGCAACCATCGAACATGGACAATTTAGATATGTGATTGTCAAATCTGATAAATACTGGACCCTGATATTATTTAAATCTTCAGAGGGACTTGGTCTGCTTGCTGATATTCAACATTTTTTCCCCATTTGCAGCAATTGGGAGATGCTAGCGAGGACTCTGCAGTAGTATGCCAGAAGCTGAAAGGAGACCTTCGAGTGGTGTTTAATGTTCTTCCCAAGGATATGCAACAGCTGCTGCTCTCCAATCCCAAAAGATCAGCTCTTCTTCAAGGTGACCCAGAACCAGGGAAGCATCCTTCTGTACAGAGTAACCCAGTTGCTGAATTGAAGTTCTCCTTCCTATCTCTGTGATCTTAGCAGCTACTTTCGAGCTTGTATTACTTGTCCCTGCATACGGATCGTATCGAATCCCAGGTATGCTCCCTTCTGTGCTGCACAAGGTCAAGATTACTGGGAAGAGAGGGAGAAGAGACGGGAGGGAGGGGATTGGGTTGAGTTAATCATGAGGGCCAAATTAAGCTATGCCTTTTTTTTTCTGTACCATTTAGAAATTATGTGATTTGTATTCCTTCGTTCTCAGAATCGAAGCAATGTGCAAACTGGTAGCCCGTTGTAGGGACTAAATTCTTTTGACCTGATAAAGAAAGCTGTTTCTTAGATTGGCAGCGCGTTGACTTATTTGTTTGATACATCCCGTCAATGGCGAGGCAATTAGCTTCTCATTTGTTGCTGTGAGTTGTGGTCCTTGTGGAAATGCTATTGTGGTAGAATGAGTTGCTACTTCAGGTGTGATGCGTTCAACCCACACAAATAAATAGCTTTGTTGCTCTAAGTCAGGCATCTCAAACATCCGAGCCATCCGCTACATTGTACTAGCTTTTGTGAAGAATAGAATTGTAATCGATGCAAAATGTGTATTAGATTTGCAAGGTAATAATAGAAAAGGCATCAGAGAATCTATTCGAGTCAATGTATAGATGCAGTCACGAGGGAGACCCTTTATATAACTGTTTCGACCATACAAAAGTCAACAGATTTGGATCAATATTATCAGATCCACTTTTACCATTATACCCAAAACCTAACATAACTTTTGGTCAATGCAGGGAGAGCTAATTAAATATTATTCCATGTTGTTAGGTACATTTAGTAAGTATCCGGATTTTTATATATTGTTACGAAAGTAAAATATATAGGTTTATTTATTCTATCGTTGTTGATTTTACAACAAAAATATGGCAACAAAGAGTAAAAAGATAATTTTAACATTTCAATTGGTGATGACAGATGATGACGCTGTTAGGAACCGTGAGTGGTTATTGTGAATGAGGAGAATGACAACGAGAGGTGAGGGTTACTTGGCAACTACGTCGACGATGAATACGATGACGTACTCAACGTCAAATTTCGAGACCAATATTTTTCTACTGTCGTCAGATACATCCATCGGGAACTCAACAATGGCTTACCTACCGACCTTCCATAGCTTCCCTACCTAGTCGACGATAACTGTGGTGAATAGAACTCCTCTGACGAGCCCCTCATCTCCCCTTTTTATGCTCACGTTAGAACTGATGCAACAATGTGGGGAGTGGTAGGAGCTTTAACAACCTTAGCTTTGGGTCAAGTGATCCACCCAACGGGTCAATAGCAAGGTGGCTACCATCTTCACCGAAGATGTCACGACGACCACCATATGCGTTGACGTTGACGTAATTATTGAGCGTTCAAAGGGCCGCTCGACATCTGTATTAGCACCAACACATATGGCAAGCGACGTCTATGATGAAGATGGTTATCGCTTCATCGCTAGCTCATTGGGCAGATCACTCGACCCAAAGTTGGGGTTGCCATAGCTCCTATCGCTCCCCTCGCTTTCGTGTCAATTTTGACATGGGCATGAAAAAGGGGAGATAGGGGGCTCGTCGGAAGAGTTTTGTTCATTGTAGTTATCATCGATCAGGAAGGGAAGCTCTAGAAGGTTGACAAGTGAGTAGTTGCTGGGCTCTCGATGGATGTATTTAAGGATGATAGAAAAATACGGGTCACAGAATTCGATGTTGGGTATGCCATTATACATGTCATTGATGTAATTGTCGAGCAGCCCTCACTTCTCATCATTACTCTCCAGCGATGTCGTCGTCCGCCACCACCAACTGAAATATTAAAATTATTTTTTATGTTTTTATTGGTAAAATTGATAACGTTAAGGTAAATAAATTTAGATATTTAACTTTCTTAACTATAGATGTCAATATAATTTTTAAAAATATAAAATTAAAATATTAAAATAACTAACTATATTAGATAATATATAATTAGCTCTTGTAGTGATGATTATGGCTCAATTTAAATTGAAACCAAACTAGATCAACGGTTCGATGATTCTGAATTGAATCAAAATTAAAGCTATATGATTCGGTTCTAATTTAATAATTTTGAATGGACCAAATATGAAAAAAAAAAGGGAAAAATATAAGAATATTTTATAATTTATTAATTAATACTTTAAACTCAAAACTTAATTTTTTTAATATTGATAGAATAATTTATTGATTTATTTATTATCAATCGAAATAGGATGAAATCGAAATCTAAACTGGAATCGGAACCGCCTGGTTCGGCTCCGAACCCAAATTTGGCAGAACCCGAACCGACGGTCCCGGGACGGTCATCCCCAGAAATGGGGCAGGCGGGTAGGATGGCTGGGAGTGGAAGTCCTTCTCTTCCCTAATTTCCACCATGGCCGCCCGACCGAGGCTTCTCCACCTGAGCTCCTCCTTCTTCTTCTTCACCTGCAAGCGTGGCGCCCGCTCCATTTTCTTCCCTTCCCTGCTCCTCCCCTCTTCTCCTTCCCGCCGCCGCCTCCTCTTCTCCTTCCCCATCGCACCATCCCTCGCCCCCGGACACCCTCTTCCAGGGCCCCGATTCCGTTCCTCCCCCTCCGCGGCGTCCATCACCGTCGACGGTCCCCCCGTAAGCTTCGACGATTCTTCTTCCGCCTCCTCCCACCACTGGCCCGAATGGGAGCGGTTCCTCGGCAAGTTGAGGGGAAAAGGTTACTTCGAGGTGTCCACTTCGGCGGCTCCCTCAGGAGATGTGGAGGATGAGGGCTCGAGTGTCTCGGCGGGGCACGGTGGCTCGTCCGTGGAGGTGAACCATGTCAAGAACGCATGCCTCAAGTTTGCTCGCGGGCGGTTCAACATCTTCAGGTCCTCCCTTTTCTTTTTCCAAGAGTAGTATTCCTTTTTCCTTTTTCTTTTCCTTTCACTGGATGATTGCTTGATATCTTTTCTTGAAAAGGAAAGGTAGGCCAGAAGACACAATTCAATCCATATAATAATCATAAAATTTAAGAGAAACAAAAAGATCAGAAGATTAGCATGTAAGAAAAGTTCAGATAATGGAAGATTAAGAAGCGGGAAGATTTGACCCCCAAGCAGTGTCAAGAATTCAAATCAACATGAATGTGCTCGAGTAGATGCCTTCATCAAAGATGGTGTTCTTGAAAGTGATTCTGTTTCTCAGGAGTGATATCTTTGAGTTTCTTGGGATGTGAGATAGGGTTGGATTAGTAACTAGTTGGTATCTTTGAGTTAAAATGTATTGGTAACCCTGAGGTTTAGCTACTTGTATTCCACCTAATTGAATGCTAGGCGTGCGTATCAATGAATATCTGCTGTGCATTGCTTTCTTGATCTGAATGTTCGTTTAGCATTACACATACCATCAGGTCATAGTTGTTCATAGATTTGTTGCATTGTCCTAATTTGTGTGTAATATTGGTCAAAGATTTGCTGGCATCTTTGTATATTGGTGCTTTTATACTTTAAATTACTGATTATGCTCAATTTACTATAAAATCAACTTCATTTTGATGTTCATGTTCTTTTCTTTTTTTGCTTCTTATAATATATTGTTTGATCACTTCATTGTGCAACTCTCTTCCTAGATCAGATATTTGGGCTGTTGTGGAGTGTGGATGCCCTAATGTGTTCCGCAAAGCTGTCAATTCAGCAAAAAGATTGAGAGCATTTCTCCAGGTTGATGAACGAGACGTAAGTGCATCTACTAATTGCAGTTGCCACACTAATTTACAAATGTAATGAATGATGTTTACTTGAGTGAAACTTGGAAATTATTGTTGTTGTTGATCGAACCATCGAAGCAATGATGTTTGAGTGTTTATATTTTAAGTGATACGATAATCTAAAAGTTCAATTATGATATAGAACCATTTCCACAGTCCAGTTGGAATACCATGATCTTGATTCAAGTTTCATTCAGTGCTGCAGGTCTGTAGTACCTGCAACCTAAGAGAATCTTGCGGCAAAGCATACATGACACCATATGATGATCGAGGCCATACCTTGGATGTAGTTCGTATTTTATTGAGCTATGCAATAAATCCAAAGCATCTTTGTGGAGAGGAAATTTCTTGTATCAAAGAACATGTTCAAAAGTCTGCTAGACATCTATTATTGGAGCTTGTTTAGCTTAGTGATACAGCCATTGATCCATCTGTTCCAAAACCTACAGTGAAGCCTTTTATTCCAAAAGAACCATCTCAAAAGGCCACTGGTAAGGGCGACAGGGCAGCTAATGTGGAGATGAAGAGAGGTTATTGGTTGTGTCCATAGTAAGTTATTGTTGCTTCAATTCTTACAATTTCTATGGCATATTTCATCTTATATTCTGGTTCATTTAAACTAGTTATCGGTTTCATTTAAACTAGCTATTGAAACTTTGGCTCTTTAGGTGTCCCACATGAGTTTAGTTGACAAAATTTCATGGTGCTGGAGATACTCAACGAAGTTGTCTGTGGTGCATTGTCTTCTTTTATGTTTGTTTGTTCTAATGGAAATAACTAGTAATCGTAACAAACAAGATAATTCGACAACAGAAACAGGAAGAATATGGGTGGATAATGGTAAAGGCTTTTCACAAAATAAGAGTTGATAATAATGTAATACAATGAAGATCATTATCACTAATGAAAATTATGAGTAAGGGTTGTCAGAGAATGGAGGACACCTGAAATTTTGGAAACTGAGCTTCCAGTCAGTTTTTTATTGTTTCCACTCATTTCTGCTAATATTCTGAAAAGGACATGCAGTTGACATTTGCAAATTGGTTAGGCAGATAATTATGTCATCCTAACCTGTTGGTTATTTGAGTTGTCTCAGCTCAACTTGGTCATGACCATAAAGCGAACCAGACCTCTTTTATTGAAATAGGATGGTTGATTTCCATAGTCTTGTATGCTCAACCAGACCCTGGTAAATGCATGTCCACTTTATGTTCTGTTTCCTAGTCATGTCCTACAATTAGGGTCAAGTACTCCAACAACAATAGTGAGAAAGGATACAAAAGGTTGTTGCTTTACGATTCTAAGTGGAACATAAATGCATGTCCGGTTTGTGTTCTGCTTCCTAGTGATGTCATGTTCGGCTATAATCAGGGGCACGTACGACAGCAATAGTGAGAAATGAGACATAAGGATGTTGCTTTACAATTCTAAATGGAAAGCAAACGGTACATGTGCAGTTCCAAATTATAGGGAACAGAACTTTTACTCTTTTTTGCTTACAAGTGTTGTGATGGTGGTGATATTGGAAGATTGCAATAACAAATTAGTTATGGAGTATATTTTTGTTAGAAATGTATATACAAGCAATACAAATTTTTTGGTGTATATCTCATGCAGTTGCAACTTTCTCAATTTCACCTGAAATCTTTGCTGTCTAGAGTGCAATGAAGATGGGACCAAAGAGAGTAAATGTAGGTGCTGCTGCTGAAATGTTGTTGGGAGACTGGACTTGTCCACAGTAAATTTCCCTTGCTCAACTTTCCCATAGTTCTACAAGGAATCAGCACCCTGAGAGCCTGAAATTAACTAACAACCCTTGTGTGGCCACAGGTGTGTTTGTGAACTTTGCTCGCAATAGCAAGTGCTTTTGCTGCCAGGAACCACAACCAAAGAGAGTTAAATCCCGGAGAGTGGGAGTGCCCCTCGTAAGTCTCTTATGCCAGGATTGTTCACCTTTTTTTTTCAAATGTCTTCTGACCTACCTTTCTGACACTGACAATTGTTTTGTCTAGATGCTATTACTCGAACTTCAGGAAAAACAAGGCGTTCAAGAAGTGCAACTGTGACCGCCCTGACGATCGGAGCAATTTGTTTGATGACCATTCATGGAGATCTGGAAAGGTCCACCAAGAACAACACTTTAAAGTTTGGAGATACCGATGATAATAATGATGAAATTGATGACAATGATGATGACATATTGCCTCTATCGAAAGGGCAACTCCGTCTGAGAGGAAGACTAACCCCTGCTAGAAACTGAAGTAATGAATCCATATCATCTTTTTGGTTATGTTCTCCCAAATTATCGTAAAGATTATAGTCTGTTCGACAATTTCCTTTCCTTTCTGCCTATAATTATTTTGAGTATCAGGTATGGTTTGGCGCTTGGAAGTGTTTTTGACATCCTTCTCAAGTCGAATAGCTCTCCCCCATATTCCACTGTAAATCTGGACACCGGATGACGGCTTGGCAGATGTATTTCTATTTGTATAAGCAAACTGTCATGACAATGATGCAGATAACTGTGTCTGATCAAAGACGGTTGTTGGAAAAGCCTGATCCAACTTTTTCATATATATCGGTCGGCAAAGATGGTTTATGCCTTTTGTTCCACGCAATGAAACTGTGGTGAAGCTTCAAGAATACAGGGCTCAATCTGATCAACCCTATCCTGTATCGGTTAATGGCTGAGGTAATTCTTTCTTCTCCATCTTTTCTTAGTACATGCTACAATTTATGTTTTGTTTTGTTCGAGAATGACTGCTTATTTTATCTTGGAAAAGCGTTCAGGGGGAACACCTCAGGAATTTTTCGTGGAGAAAGGAGGTGGAATGCTTCCTTGAGTGCACATAACATGTTCGACAAAACAGCGAACTCCATAGGGGCCACACAATTTGTCGTCGGAGCTCACCGAGGAGGATGATGAAAAGTATCAAGTATTATTATTATAGGAAGCAATTCTGATAACGCTGCTGGCAGAAGCCATGCAGAAGCTTATCAACTACTACTAACAATCTGCTGATTTATTCATTCGATGACCAGGTTATTCTCATACTTCATTCATGTTGCTCTCCGTCCTTCATGCAGATTGTGATCAAATAGCGATGCTACGCGGCGGTGACCGCGATCTTCATGCCGGACTGGCAGTGGCCGGCGAAGCTGCAGATGAAGTAGTTGGTGCCTCGGGCCAGCGTGATGCGGTCCTTCCCGGAAGTGTAGACCCTGGAGCCCTTGGGAGCCGAGCAGCTATTGTAGCCGGCCGCGCTCACCGCCACCACGTTGTGAACCGACGGGTTGTAGTTGAACACTGCCGCAGATCGGTCAGTACCATTAGTAATAATGCAAAAATAAGTATGCACGCAGCAGGGCAGCCATCACTTACCGAGCACATCGCCGGCTCTGAAGCTCTTCCCCCTGGGCCAGCTGGCGACGTTGAAGGTCCATCCGCTGTTGCCGCCGACGACGTAGGTGGCGGCCTCGGCCACCTCACTGTGGATGAGGAGACACAGCAGGGCCAGCCCCAGAGCCACGACACTGCCCCTTCCCTGAGCCATCACAACGCCCCGCTCAGAAGCCAAGACCGACTCTTCCGAGCAAGTGCAGTGGAGGTGAAGATCTCGTTTGTGAAGCTCCGAGGAGGGGGGGGGGAGGCTTTTTATAGGCGTCGGAGTGAGGGTGGTGGAGGAATGGGCCCCGCCCGGGTTGATCGAAGGCTGGCAACTATCCATTACAAGGCCAAAGATTTGGACCGGGGAGGAGTCGTCGCTTGGAAAGCAGTCGACAGCAGACGATGTCACGAGTTTGGCATATTTCCATGAATGCTTCAATTCTTGGGTGGGTCGGCGATACTACGGAGGAGGGTATCGTCTATGGTACGTAAAAAGAGTTCGGCCGTCTATGGTAGGCGATTCGCGGGAGATGTTTGTGACGTGTGGTGTTTTGGACAGGGGTCTTATCACTTGGAAAACAACGCTCCCTCGCCGGGAAATATGGAAGCTAGCGGATGAGATACTTCTGGTGTCACGTGGCGTAATCATAGGCCAATCCTGAACCTGGTCATCGTGATGCAGTTCCGCCGAACAAGACATCACACGTGCGCTGTAAGTTCTCTTTTGTTGTCTTCATCCACATTCTGCATGCCATTTCATACAACATTTTTCCCTTATACGGGGAGGACGTTTCGTTCCTATTCATGTCACAGAACAATAGCCTCGCCACCCTCCCTCATTTTGCGTCGACAAAACACACGAGCAGAAAAGCAGAGTACAAAGTTTGCACGCCTACAAAGACTCGATTCACAGTGTCTCAGATAGTGGAAAGAAGAGCGAAAGGAAGATTTCTGTTATTTGGGCATTGTCATTGAAGCTCCTTCCTCGCACGTTCAGCCGTCCTACTCGAAAAGTCCTCTTCGGGTCCTCACGGAGATGGCTTTCTTTCCTGCACAACTCACAACCGCTGTGAGACTCTAAACTCATCTTCAGGAGTTGAAAGGTTAGCTAGCTTCAGTTTCATACGTTGCATCGTTACCTTCAGTTCCGGATTTTAATTCCGTCTTCGCCTTGTGCGGTGGATTGCTTCTCTCGTTCCCTCTGCTGTAGGAAGGACCCAAGTAAGCTTCCGGATGCTCGTCAGGTGAGCCGCCTCCTAAGGATGCATGGAGCCGCCCATCTTCTTCCTCGCTCGAATCTGAGCTCCAAGAAGGTGGTCTCCGGAACTGCTTGACGAACTTCTCCTTAAACCTGTCTTCCCCAAGCAAATCGTGCTGTTCTGCTTCTATTTCCTCTTCTGAATCTGAACAATGGATCTGATCACCAGAATTGTCGACGCTGGCTGCTGCCTTGGGCTCCTCCACCTCCTCAAATCTGCTTTGGCCACCGGATTCAGTGTCGGGATCAGAGCCTCTTCCTTGGGACTCCGATCGGCAGAGCTCCACCGCGGCCCTTGCAGCTGCCGCAGCAAAGGCTGCTGCTTCGAAGGCATCCTTCGCTGCACTGGCCACATCTTCATACTTGTGAGGCGTTCTCATCGAAAGGTTTTCATCAGATTTGAGCTGCTCCTGTACGAGATTTACTGGTGGATCTCCCTGAATCATTGCAGATTAGGCATGGCATGTATGACGCGAAGCACGATGACTTCGGATGTATTGGTATACGTACCCCTGCATCCTCAGAAGAAGGATCATAGAAATCAAGATTGATGCCCGTCTCGGCAGCGATCTCCTTCGTCACCCGCTGTCGGATTTCCAGGCTTGGCTGCCTGGTCGACAGCTTCTGAATCATCTGCAGGAGATGATCGCTCTCATTACAGAACATGGAAGACGACAACGCTGCCCTAAACCGAAGCATTACTGTATACCTTGGGATTGACACGGCAATTGTTCCTCAGCTCTACGGCCGCCGACACGAGTTCCTTGCCATACCTGGAGGAGAAGATGCCTCGGGCCTTATCCAACTCCGGCAATTCCGCGCATCTCGATGCCGCAAAGCTCAGACTCGAGATCGCCTCCCGCAGCTCCTCCGGGCACTCCCTGCATCGAACTCGATGGCTCGGGGTAACAAGAACAGGAGCAGCTGCTGCACTAAAGTAATTAAGGAGACCAGAGATGAGAGCAGTCACTTGTGATCCAAGAGCACAAATCTCTCGATCAGCAGTTGGCAATAGTGCTCCGACATAACGAACACGTCCACCATGTTCTGCTCCTTGATTACATGCTCCACCTGCAACGGCGTCAGTGGTCGCTCGCACGCATACAAGGAAGCAACCAGCACTGGTGCGGTGCCTTGGAGGAGTCGGTACGTACGCGGAGGAGGGCATGGTCGACGTGGCCGAGCTGGAGGAGCTGGGCGACGTCGGTGCGCGCCTGGTTGCACCGGACCTGACGGCGGTTGCGGAGAACGGCCAGGCGGGAGACGGTGAGGCCCAGCAGGGTCTTCAGCTTCGACATCTGCCTCGACTTCCTTCCTAGTAGAGCGTCCAGCTTCCTTCCCATCTCTGCTTCCTTCCTCCCTCACCACAGTCGGATCAAGCCTTCCTGTGTGCTACAAGTGCACATATATGAAGCTGAGATGGGTAAAGGGTGATTGCTTGAAGACCAAGGATGGATTCGACGATGATGATCGAGAAGGGTTTAGGTGAGGGGGATCAAAAGTGATCCCTTTCAATGGGTTGGCGAGGTATGGAGTGTGTTATCATCTTGGACCCCAACTCCTGCTGCAATCGCCCTGCGTTGCCTTGTGTAGCAGCCAACTTAGGGATACGTTTAATTGGTTTAAGCTTCGAGTTTATGCACCGAGTGCTGGTTCTTTTGGGAAAATTGTGTGTGTATAGGAACAAAGAGAAAGAAATAAGGCTTTTGGAGAACGCATTCCGCCGAGTTCCAAAGAATACTGCTGCCTTTTTTCATCCTACAAGTTTGATATTGTTATCATCGCAGCGAAGAGGAAACCCTAAACCACAAGGCACAGCCTTCCAAACTTGCGATAATTGGTTGTTGGGCATTGAGAGTTGGTAAGACCAAACTTTGGTTTAAGACGAGAAGGCAATAACTTTTGGCTATGTTCAATGCTTTATGCTCGGAAGATTTAGCAAAGCATGAAAACAACAAGTAAAAGAGTATATAGTCGCCTCTCTCCCTTGCCATCGTTCTTCTTGGGTGGGCATATAGTAGTTATCTTCTGCCCCATTATGTTGCGAGCCACTGTGCTCATCTTTCGTATTGTTGTGAACTGGTGGTGCTTGCCAACCTTATAGTGGTCGCCTTGCTTCCCATCAAGGGTCCTTCGCCTCAAGGGGTCTGTTACGGTCAGTAACTGTTCAGCCGTGGCCCTGAGGTCGTCGCGGCTTGGTTCGGGTCCGGAAGGTGGTGGTCAAAGGATGGGGAGTCTCCTCGTGCCCACTGAGTCTCCGAAGGCGGTGATCTCCGAAGGTTTCGTACCTGCACCAAGGTCGGGTCGGGG